AAAGGTTTTATATATTTATGAGAGAGAGAGAGAACCCGAGCAGGGGGAGGGATAGGGGAAGATGGAGAAGCGGACTCCCTGCTGAGCAGGAAACCTGACACCAGTTCCATCCCATCCTCGGCACCCCAAGGATACTATTTCTAAGATCTGAAATATATGTCGAATTACAAACCTTTTTCAAAGATCTTGGTGTCTAGAAAGAGTTCCTGTTCAGAAGTTTGGGATCCTAAAGAAAAAAAAGGTGTACATTTAATAACTTACATGTATACACAAAGCAAACTGCATCTCAAATAAAATGACTGCATATATAAATGAATCATACTAGGGAATGCTAAGAAAATAGCCTTCATATGCAGAAAGAATGATTCATTAATAAAACTAGGCATTAGTGGTAAATGAAATTAAACAATTTATGACTGTAACAGCAGTTAAACTTCCAGGTAGCAGTATGAGAGAAGTCAGGTCAAGAGAGACATTTATTTTACAATCCTGTGTTTTCTGAAATTTTTTTTTACCATGAAACAAATGCACACACACACACGAACAATTTATTTACAAATTGACAAATATGATTACAACTATCTATCTTGCAGGTTAGGTTTGAAAGTTTTTTCAGTCTGACTCAATTTTTAGGTTAAGGCAAAGTTACAATATTTGTACAGAGGAAGCACCTGAAAAATGTTAACAATGTGAATGGAGATGCCAACTTAAAATGAGGTTTATTATCAGGAATTGCTTAAACTTCTAAACTAAGTATCAGAAATTAGACGATCAAGCACAGGGGGAAATATTCTAAGACATTAAATTCCACATACAAATGGGTCAGAATTATGAGATTATATACTAGAGAGCAAAATGAGACCAGAAAAAGTGGGAAAATAACCTTTTTATGCATCTCTCAGGATATATATGATTTTAAAACTTAATGGCAACACAAGAGGAAAGCAGACATTTTTTCCAAATGCTACAGTGTTCTGAAAATCATCTAGCATTTATTATGCAAAATCCTAAACCCAGCAGCTAGCTTTGTAAAAACCATCACTGAAAAAAAGAAAACATTTGTCAGGAAAAAATAATTTCCTGGCTCCTCAGTGATATAGGAAAAGGCCTTCATGTATTTCAACTATCCAAACACCATTTTCTCTATCTCTTCTTATACCCCCATATCAATGAGGTACTAATTAAGGCTAGAAACCTTTCTGGATATGTACCTGCAACTTCTGGTTACTGTCATTTGCTTTGGAGTCAGACAGACTGAATTCAACTTCTGGTTCCATCACTTCCTGATTGCATAACCAGGGCAAGTATGATATCCTATTTTCCAAAATGAGTTTAAAATAAACAGTATCCACCCCACAGGGTTGCTGTAAAGGTTATATGAGGTGATGCACACAGTGCATTTAGGACATGTCTAGGGTATGGTAAGCATGTAACTACTGTTCTTATCGATATTCTACCCTCATAACACATGATTTATCTATAGGTTATCTTGAGCCAAACAGTTTTCCATCCTAAGGCTCTATTTGCCTTCTTTCAACATGCTAATTATTATACAACAGAAGTCTTAAATAGGGATCATGCTTTGAATATAGGAATAAAGCCAAAACATAATCATGAAAATGGATTTACAGATTATTTTTCTGGAATGATTAAGAACTAAAAATAGAATATTAATACTTAAGTTTTAAAAAAGGACAGGACTGGCAAAGACATTTGGGAACCATGGCAACAGACTCCTCCCCCAGAAGATCAGCGAAAACAGCCAGCCAAGACCAAGTTTACCCATCAATGAGAATGGCAGAACTCCAGTGCTAGGGGAATAATGCAAATGGAATCCATGGCTTTTTTCCATGATTCTTTAGTCTTTCAAAGTTAATTTTTTTCTTAACTGTCTTTTTTTTTTTTTAATTTTTCTTTTTCCCTTTTTCAACCAACACCTTATCAATCCCTTTTTTAAAAAACATTTTTATTTTTCATTTTTAGAGCCATATTCTATTCCTTCATAGTAGTTACCCGTATTTCTGGCATATATATATAAGTTGTTCTCTATTTAAAATTTTGACATAGTTTCTTCTGACAGAT